GTTGTAGGTAAAGGCGCCGACCTCCCTCCTCGAGCCATAGCCCTGCGCCTCCCGGAACCGGAATCCCGGTTGACGGCGGCTCTGGTCAACTTCGTCTTCGTGAACTTCGCGGACCCAACCTTGGGCACCTCATTGCATGCATCCTCCCGGAACGGCCGGTTAAGTTGATCCCTGAGGCCCGAGGACAGCCCCCAGCCACAGCTGGACAAGCAGCGCTGCGGATTCGGGTGGGTTTTCGGACATCCTCTTCTTTCCCAACTTTCTCCACTTCCCCTTGTCACACACCTCACCTACACTACAACCTCCACTACGACAACCTCTTGACAAGCGCTGAGCCGGAAAAGGTAGGAGCCACGCCGGACCGGTGCGGAGAAGGTGGTCCAGAGAGGGGCCGACCAAGAGCTCGAGGAGCAAGGCAGAAAACCGCTAAGCAGCGGGAGAGGGATAAGCAGAGGCTTATCGACTTCAGAGCATCGCAGACGACAGCGGCGCCGAAGTCCAACGGAGGAAATGGGCCAAAGGGAAAAGGAGGACGCAAACGAAAGAGGGGCAAAGAGAAACGGCCAAAGAAGCGCCGCCGAGCCGACAGCCGGCGGAAGGACAGCAGGCCCCCTGGAAAACCTTAGGCTTTCACGTGAGGAAGGGCACGAGACCAGCGCCGCTCGGCAGGACGGCAGAAAGCCGAGGGGGAGCCTGCAAGCTGTCAGCAGTCGCAGGCACGGATCCCGCGGTCAAGGGCGGACCCGAAAGTCCCCGCCCGACGCAGAGTCGGGGAAGCACCGGACGGTGCGCCAGCCTTGGCCGCGGCCATCCCAGTGGTCACAGCAATCAGCGCGTCGTTCGTGGCGGGAACTTCCGCCGCAGAGCTGGCCCCAGGCAGCTCGGGCGTCTTCAAGTCCCTCCTCCGCTGCCTCCGCAGAGGTGACCCCACTACTACTATTAGACCGGCGAAGACCCCAGATAGCTGGGAAAGCGTCAGAAGGTTCACGGTTTCGGACACAGGAAGGTCAAGCAGTTGGCTCTTCCTTTCTGTGTTGTTGCCCCAGGTATTTTGGCGCGTGCAGCGTTGTTTTAGGCTCAGGCTGGCTAACCTGCGATTAATTGCAATGTCTGGGCTCACTCTTCTTCACATGCCTCAATTGCGGCTTGTGGCGCAAATTGAACTCCACTCGGCCTTTCTATTCTTTCGGGTCACTGGGCCGGGTGCTTGCCAAGGTCAGGAAATCCTTATCTGGCCTATCCCTGACAGTGACAGTCGATCCCTCACTGTACATCTTGTATGGCACTCTGTCGCCGGTCAATCGGGACATTTGCGTTGGCAAAGTCTTGGAGGCTTCGATTCGAGGATCGA